CAGGATATTTCAGAACCAATGACTTTAGTTAATAGAATATAAAATACGATTTTTAGCCTCAGCAGTCTTTTGTTTTTAAGATGAACCAAATTGGTCTTGCGGATCATAAAATTACACCTTCATAAGAAAAATTTTATTAAGAAAATGTCCTTTAGTAGAACCATAAATGTACAGGGTGTTCCATAAAAAAAACAATATTTTCACAAAGTTTAACAAAGGACTGAAATGACACTGAAAGATAACATGCGCTGTCACTATGGAGAAATAGATGACCCAAATTTATACGATTTCCAATGAAAAATTTAGAAATATTTTTTTGTTGACACCCTCTATCTCGAAAATGCATAAATGCATCTATAATTCAATATTATTACTTTTTAATATTTTTATTTTATCAATCTTTGCGACACTTTGACATTTATTCATTTACATTCTATATTGCACAATATGCTAGGGGAAGGGGTCCGGTCCGGATCCCCTAAACCCCCCCCTTATATACGTCCATGTCTATAATATCTATATCTACAGTGGATTACCCTGATTTCGACCGCAGAAACTATGAGTCTCTTAATATATTGTTGGATAATGAAATTAATAATCGAATTAAGCTTTATCGGAAAGTACATTAAATAAATTAATTTCTTAGTTACATAAGGCTTGGGGAACTTTAAAGGAGAGGACAGAATAAATATTTTAAAAAAACGTGTGCTATAACGTGACACAGTTGCGTTGTAATTTTAGTTGATTGGATGAATAATAAAAAGATAACCTAAAACAATAAATTTCGATGTTGCCACAAAATGGTGAAGATATAAAAGTAACTAGAGAGAGCGAATCTGCATTGCTGCGAAGCTCCACAATTTTTAATTAAACAAAAATTAAACTGGCAGGTTAGGTCGTTTTTTATTTATCAAGCTTTAGAAATCGCTCAAAAACTTATGACTTATTATTTTTATAATTTTTAGTTTTCTTTACCGTTAATCAAAATTTTTTTCCTACTTGAATATTACCCTCAATTTCTTTTTTTTTACACCGTGCAAGTAACGATAAAACTCACTGTTTCGGAGTGATGACCAGTTAAATACAGGGCGGTCACGAGAACATTGTTCATCTTTTTCTCTTCATTACTGTTCGAGATAGAAAAAATTTAAAAAATACAAGTTGTAGGATTTTTTTAATTTTTGACACCTGTACATCTCGACAAAGATAATTGATTTCCGAGACATAGGTAAGTACTTGTCTTTTTTTGAGACATGAATGCAGCATTTCTGAGACAGATACGTTTTTTTATATGATAAACCCGAGGATAAACCCTATAGTACATCTTTAGACCAGCGATCTTCAAACTTTTGCGATACTTAAAAAAAAATTTGAACACACTTTTTAGTGGATAGGTACTTTATAATACATTTATAAATATTAACAAAATAAATATTCCACTAAGTAAAAATTAAACTACGACTTTAAAATTTAAAGTAAACATTTATTGGATAATTAAAAAAAAGTAAATATAATCAACTCGATAATCAATGACTAGGATGTGCTTGAATATTTTTACATTTATGTTGAAATCACGTGGTATTGTCTAAGTTGCAATCGCATTTCAAATTCTGCATTAAGATCATTGCATTTTTGTCCAAGTCGCGGAACCCTCAGAGAGGTTGTAAGGAACCCCAGGGTTCCGCGGAAAACAGTTTGAATACCGCTGCTCTCGCCGCTGCTTTATACTGTTGAAAAAAACCGTCAAAAGAGCTTTTCCAAAATATGTTTAGCAACGTGGCGTCTTGTGAAGAAATAATTGTTTTTCTGTAGGTTATAAGAAGGTTATAAGAAAAAAATTATACAAAATTAATAAAATTTTTAATAATCGAACAATTTTATTTTCCAGTTTGACCCAAAGTTCGACATTTTTGTTTATTACCGTCATTCGTTTCTTATTTCGTAAACATTTTGTTGTTTTTCATTTTGGTATCAAAGATTTAAAAGTATGTTTTGAAGGAAAAGGTTTATCATGTTATAATAGTCTATGAAAAATATGTATTTTTAGTTTTATTGAGTATAAATAGAATAAAAAGTGGAATTAGTTTTTATATATTATACTTATTTTAAGTAAATTGTCAATAGATCGTATCTTTCTGCAAACATATTACGAAACATTAGTAGACGAATAAACATCTCGCACCTATATCGTATACCTATTATATATTTTTAAAAACCTCTTTTGCCGACCTTTCTAATAGGTATTCCATTAAAAAACGTAAGTTATGTCTATATCTTGGAATATAAATTAAACTGTTTATATAAATATAAATTTAACTGTTTTTTGTGCTGCAAGTGACCCCGAAGAGTAACGAAAAAAAAAGGTAGGTTTATTTTCCCGTAACCGCCCCGTATATATTTCCGTAAAAATAACCACAGCGCGAATAAGGAAAAAGTTTAAGTAATAAGTACATTTATTAATTTGCTAAGCATAGCTCGAACATTTTCAAATTTCTATAGATGTAGCGGTCCTACAAACGCCCAAATAACATTAATCTAAACGCGAGCCTCGATCCATGATGAAAACCCCTGTTACCGCGCTGTTTATCGAACTCTATTCATTATTATCTCAATTATTATTAACCATAAAATTCTTCACATTTAATTTCTCAGTAAATTGGTTCTTTCAACTCGTCGAAAACAACAAAATATGATATTGTGAATATTTTTTCGAAATTACGTTTAAACATACAGGGCGTTAAACATTGTAAGTGTAATATAAATATCACTTTTACTTTTATAATTTTCGCAAGATTACTTAATTTGATTCAGTGTAAACGTGACATGGTAATTAGTAAATTAGCTTACTTTCTTACTTACTATTTGGAAGGATTTGAATTTTTATATCGATTTACAATAGAACAGCGTTTCTCTGCGTTGACTTTTACGACTTTTCGTATATCATTTGCATTATTTATTCATTGGCAACCGAGTGAATCATTTGCAGGTGGTAGAAATACGTAAAAATAGTGTAAAATGTAAAAGCTAATCATTAGTGATGATCACGTGACTCTCGAGTGCAGTTATAAAACTAAAACGAACCTGGCTTGTTTCTCATACCAATATTATCGACATGTTGCACATTTCAGATTTCGGGTTTTTTACACCTTGACTTTTTGTCGGTAGTTTTCAACTTAAAACTCATACAGATTAAACAACCCTCTAGTCATAAATATCAAAGAAATGATGCAAATGACACAAAAATATATTTTACAGTTGTTACAAAAATAAGACAGATTTCGTAATACTGAGATGTTAAAAATTACGAAAATTAACATTTACGGCCTCTTAACGCCAAGGTTAGTTGAATAGAATATTGATTTGGCTTTTACTGCACACATATACATTTTTTAAGCGTTTTTCGAGGTGATTTTATTCCTTTATAAAAGCACTTTGTTTCTCTGTACTCGTCGATTTCTAAAGCACTTCAATTCGCAATTTTATACAGAGTTAAAAATAGAATCAGTATATTTCTGTTTCGGAAAGTATATCTATCTTTTATGAAAAAGCAGAAGGTAAACTCTAGCTCTCAGTAGTTTTATCGGGTGGATAAACACGTGGAAAAATACGCTTTGTTAAGAAGAAAACATAGCTATCGCTAAACAGTAATTATCAAAATATATTTTCGAAACTACACTGCTTATCGAATACTTACGATTTCACTTCCTACACTACAGTATGTAACTAAACTCGATAAATTTATCATCCCAAAACAACGCCATTTGGATATTTACAAAATTCGACTAGGTTAAAGATAAATTTAGATAATGTTAGACACGAGGGGATAGAGAAGGTAAGAGAGGGGTAACCTGTCAAGTAAATTGCAATATTTTTAACAAATTTGGTGCAATTTTAATACAGGCCTGCTAAAAAAATAAACCGGGAAATATATTCATATTATATGGAAATTCCTTGCAAAATAAATAAGAAAAAAGTCCGTATCAACATGTGACTGGAAAAGCAAAGCATGCTGAAAATATATTAACATTTTTTAAAATATCTACTATTTTATCTAAATGGTAAAAATCGAATAAAATGAAATATATGTGAATCAAAAAATTATTGGCGTAGACATTTTAGGCAGGAAAAAATGCAAAACTGTTATTTATTTTTTCGGACCTCGTCAGAATTCTAGGCACCTTTCTTGTGAAACGCAAAGTTATAATCTTAGGTTTATTGAAGTGCCTACTTCGTAACAGTAATTAGGTAATTGCAATCTAAAAAAAGTAATACGTAACTCTAAAATAGTGCATGGTGTGCTTTTTACATAAAAAATTTATATATTTTTTTAGAAATGCCACGGATTTAGTGACCAAATTTCAAAAATACCTAGGTAAAGGTTTACCACTGAATTACGCATCTATGTCCGAATTCACAGAATATGTATATTTAATTAGATACCTAAATAATTATTCTCATTACTATGTTAAATTTTATTTTTTTTCTCAGTTTGAATGCCCTGCAAGTTTTTTACATACCTATACTTACTTATATGTAAACACATTCTTATAGGAACTGTATTTATTTGCAAGTAATATCCATTTAATTTTTTTCTGCCCTAAATATACAGGCTGACAATTTAGTTGGTAAAGTTTACTTGAACTAATTTATAATTAACAATAACAAATCATATTTACTGATAAATATAAAACATTGTTCCAAACAAACAATTTTTGACTGGGACAAAGTACCTACATCGTTGCATAGATAAGCCAATAATAGGTGTTTTTGAAGAAATGGTGGTAGATGCAGAATTAAAAAATGGCTAGAACCTGCCACAAAAAAACAATCTATTAAATTCATTGTGATGTTGTAGATACTTTCCATGCATGGGTATGCGATTAATGAATGGTAAAGCAAATACGATAAACTTCAGCTAGTTAGCTGAAAACCGGTGGAGCCTGGCAATCGAGCGATCGCTGAAAGCAGATGATTGTCAACTTTCCTGCAGGTAGACTTACCGAGCAGCAGGAGTTTGAGCTCCCGTCTAGCATCTCGCTTATCACGGCGAAGCTGTTTTTCTATTTCAGCGTTGATTCTCTTCTGTTCTCTAGCTTCATCTGACTGACAACACTGCATGGTCGTGTTCTAAATGGGGCCACGAACCTCTTTCTTATCATCCACGCCGGCTTTACACAAAAACACACCTACAACAACTTGACACTTCCCGCAGCGGCGACCATCGTAGTAAGCTGGGTGTGGTGATTAAGTTTGACCGCTGACATGCTCTTATATTCACGCTAGCCCTGAATTTAATCTCGTTATCGTTAACTAGATTGTCGAAGCCTCATCCAAGTCCACCGGTAAAGCGATTAGAAGGCCCGATGTAACTATCCTCGCTCCCGTCTCGGACGGCTCAGACCACTCGAAACAATCGCGATTCGAAACACGGCGACACGGCCCGCTAGACGCTCATCCACACACAAGCATTGTCCGGAAAAGAGTCCACCATTCCGTCTAGCACGACATTTAGCTGATTTTCACGTTAAAAAAACTCCATTTCACACAAAATGCAGCCGCCTCTTGTCAATATGGCGCTGCCCTGTATACCAGCGAAAAAAACTGCGCAAGACAGGAAGTTGTGAGGAAGATATAAGACAGCGGGAATTTTGATATAAATATTTATAACGCCTAGGTATTGGACTGTAAATACGAAACTCCAAACCTTGTATTTGCGGTTGATGCTTAATCGTTATGCCACTAAATCCATTAAAAACTAAGCCATGCATCCAAATTGTAATTGTCTGCATTTATTATTTTACACCATCTATATATTTCAATATTTTATGCGAAAAACTTAATTTCATGAATGAACCATAAACATGAAACATATATACCGGTACTTAACTATAATAATTTCTTAGTGGTAATAATTTGTTTTTTTTTTATATAGGTACAGGTAAATTCCATAAAGTATTCTGAATTTTCACTTACTCATTTCAGAGGATAATAATTTTTTGAGTACCTATTTTAATGTAAATATATAAAACGATCCAAATAAATGTGGCAGCAGCTTTGAACAGGTAACAGAAAAAAAAGGTTTCCTATTTTTTTTTAATATTCAAATAGAAAATTGTTTGCAAATTCTTATAAAATGCACAGTTCAATGTAAAAAATATTTTCATAAGGACTATTCACCTTCCTGACGTATCAGTTATTTTGATCATGACCAATCTAAAGGTAGGTTTACATTAAGCAAGTATGAAAAAGCAGATGCAGTAAACAAGTGACGCCTAATTTTTAACGAAGTGATCTGCAAAAGTAATTAACCAATTAGGCACGTAAATAGTTAAGCAAGTTTAATTCCTGTCAAATTTACAATATCACTATTTAATCTTAAATAAAGATGCAACCATTTGGTTTTATAATATAGTCTATCAAATGAGTAAGCGTAAGAAAGTCTGATGCATTTCCACAAATTCGGTAAGTAGCTGACTGCGTGACCTTTTTTTAGAATGAAATCAAAATCAAAAGTTATTCAGCAGGTTGTTTTTGAAATTCTTTATAAGCAAGTTGCCGATTGCGAAAAGCTCTTTTTTAGAGGTCTCCATAGAGCTTGCAGCTCTGGGGCCACTTTAACCAAAAATTCTAGCTACGGCCATAGGCATTGCAATAAACACCTTCAGATCTGACAAATTAAACATTTATATTATTCTTTATTAAATTATTACAGAAGTTTATGTAACAAATTAACTCTTTTTGAGGCAGATATGCTTAGATCTGACGGTTTTTAACCATGCTCTCTCACTGCGGTCTGCCTATCTTTTAGAACTAAATGTCAACAATTTTAGAAAGATCCTCTTGTAAAGTGTTAGCATTTTTATGTTTCAGTAGGCGGTATTAATTGTATAATAAGCAGAAGACATTTTGCGTTTTTTTTCAGAGCTATGCGTCATGCCGTCCTTAATACGTGGATGAATGCATAATAATTCTCTTTTTTCTTGCTAACACGACCACTTACACATTTCCTTTCTCTCTTGCTTACTTGACTCACTTCTTTACCGACTTCATGTACACTGGCTTTATTCCCATATCAATTCTTGATTTGAACATGATTTTTTATTGTTAGTGACATCTCTTGACCATTATATAAATCATGTTCTTGTAGACGACAAATGTCAAATCTCAATGACACATGTTTAAAACAGGTTATGTCAACATATTGTGTCAAAAATTTCATCATAAGCCACGAAAATGTCTAAGAAACGTGGAAATAAGAAAGGAAAAAACCTCGATGACGATTTTGAAGAAAATTTAAGTGTGGAAAATGATACGAATAACATAAACTCGAAATCTAATAAAACTAAACCAGTGAAGAAAGGCAAAAAGGGAAAGAAAGATGATGATTGGAGTGACAATGAAGCTAACGACACAAGTATGTGCCTTTATATTTATTAAATAAATTTGATTAGATACATTACTTTCCAGAAACTGTCCCAGAAACTAAGAAAACAGAAAACGTACAGCAACCGGTGTCAAAAAAGAAAGCTGGCAAAAAAGGTATGTTCTTTATTGAAGTATTATCACAACTTTTTATATTGTACATGTATATAACCTAATTATATTTTAAGGAAAGGCAAATAAAAAGGATGATGATTTTTCCGACAAAGAAGATGACATTGACATTCATTTATCCGATGGTGAATCAGAACCTCTTCCAGCACCTGCAAAGAAATCCCTTAAGAAGAATAAGAAGAAACAAGGCAGCGGGGATGAATCTGATGACGATATACCTCAACCTGCGAAGAAAGGAGGCAAAAATAAAAATAAGAAGCCAGTTAGTGACAAGGAATCTGAAGATGAAATTAATCAAAAAAGCGATGTGGAACCTGAAAAAGATATACCTGCCCCAGTTAAAAAAGGCGGAAAGAATAAGAAAGGGAAGAAGCAGGATAATGAGTTTATTTCTGATGATGAAGTGACAATACCGGCAAAGAAAGGAGGAAAGAATAAGAAAGAGAAGAAGTCAAAAGACGAAGATTTGAGCGCAGAAGAGGTAGATGATGACATCGGGGATACCAAACCGAAAGCTAACATATATGCACAACTGTTGGATGATGAAGAAAATGATGATTCCTCCGAAGACAAAAGTGTCAAAAATGATTTTAAACATGAACAAAATGGAGAAAAGGCTTCTCAAGTAAAAACAGCAGAGATAGAGAAATTAGCTATTACTAAAATTTCAGAACCTGATGAAAAAGCTGCCGAGGAAGTAAAAGAGAAAAAGTTAACTCACAAGGAAAAGAAGAAAATGAAGAAGATGCAGGAATACGAGAAACAAATGGAAACTATGTTGAAAAAAGGAGGCCAAGGACATTCAGAATTAGACAGTAACTTCACCGTTTCACAGGCTCAAAAAAGTGCCGGCCAAATAGCAGCCCTAGAAAACGCCGTAGACATTAAAATTGAAAACTTCAGTATATCAGCAAAAGGAAACGATTTGTTTGTTAACGCTAATTTGTTAATTGCTCAAGGGAGACATTACGGTCTTGTAGGACCTAACGGGTAAGTAAGTTTTCTTAGTCTAAGCAATATTTCATGTTTCTTTATTTTCAGTCATGGTAAAACAACCTTATTGAGGCACATCGCTCAAAAGGCGTTTGCAATTCCTCCAAACATTGACATTCTTTACTGCGAACAAGAAGTAGTGGCGGACGATAACTCTGCCGTTGAAACGGTTTTAGCAGCCGACGTCAAAAGAACAGAACTGTTGAAAGAATGTAAGAAACTGGAAGAGACATTCAATGGCGGTGACTTGGAAGTGCAGGATAAGCTGAATGAGGTCTATGCCGAGCTCAAAGCTATCGGCGCTGACTCTGCGGAGCCGAGGGCGAGGAGAATCCTGGCCGGTCTTGGATTTGATAAAGAAATGCAGGTTAGTGTAAAATTTGTTTCAACATTATCTGTCATACATAAAGAATGTATTAGAATTAAATCAAAATACTATAATAGAGCAGTGTTGAAAAATGTTCAAGAATTTACTTTTAAGGCTGGCGTTTTATAGACAAGAAATCGCACTTTTAATAAAAAAATTATAAAACAAGTAGATCCATCCAGAAAGCGACGAAGCGTAAAGCTAAGCTGCAGCAACTTCCTTTAATTTTTCGCATTGATCGCGGAGAACGTGTAAACATCAGAAAATGTACCTTTCTTGTTTTGTTCTACAAATTTGTAAAGATACTCGATAATTGTGATTAATGCTTGCGTTAATAGTTTCCTAAAAGCATTATGCGGGGTGTGATTATGTTTATAGTATCATACACGAATTTCTGTATGTTCAACAGGCGTGCGATATTCGGGAAACGTAAGATAAACATACGAGTAAAAATATACTTTTTTTTCTTTATTTTGAATATATCGTCTGTGGTCTTATACCCTGAAGAAAACTTATATAACTGGTTCAGTGAAGAGATATTGTTTCTAACTTGCTTAGATTTTCTGAAATGCTGGACAAAAAATTGTGCATATAAACGCCCCCCTTAAAAAATTGTCATCGATCACAAACTAAAATAAATGAAAACAAATGTGGTGGGCCCAATGATTTATGTTCTTCATGATGTAATTTTTATAAAAATTCAGAAATCTGAATATAGAGGGTGTAAACTTGATTGAGGCTTATAGTTATAAGGACCTATTACTGGATGAATATACAGGCTGTCTTATAAAAAATGCCTGAAGCTGTAACTCTATTAATAATTGTTCTATTTAAAAAAAACAAAAGTCTGTTGTTAATGGCTTGACAAATATGTACTACAAGCGAGCACTGATTTTAATTTTTTTTGCCATCATCGTTAGGTGATTTTCAATTGTTTTTTCTTAAATGTCAATTTTTTTTTTTGCCTGTTAGAGTATTTTTTTCTGCAGTCAACTATATATTACAACTTGATATTTGTATGGAAAAAATATTTTTTTACAAAATTTATTAGAGAAATGCTATGTCTAATTCACGGCAACTTCTGATAAAAATGTCAAATTTGCCTTGAAAACAATTTCCTAGGCAAAATACATATCAGTGTATCGTCCAGTGGTTATTAATTACAAAGAAATTATTGTAACTTAAAAAATATGAACACTAATGAACTGACCGATATAACGTTTGTATGCAAATCGGTTTCCAAGCAGGAATGTTCCACAGTGACGAAAATTTAAAAGACTTGAAGACAATCTCAGAATGTATAGTGCTTTTAAAAAGCCTAAAAATTCGCAACGCATTTTTAATGGTCCTGTAGAATTAGACGTTTTGCTTGGTATTGAGGAAAATCCACAAGCTTCTACTCGAGAAATTGCAAGTAATATTAATTCTTCAAAAGACACAGTACACAAAATCTTAAAAAAACACAAATTTAAATCATACGTACCACAGAAAGTGCAACTGTTACAAGGTAACGATCGTGTCCGAAGGGAGCAATTTTGCCATTTTTATTTAAATATGATACAACAAGACGCAGGATTTTGGAGAAAAATTATACGGTCGGATGAGTGTACCTTTAGTAATAATGGCATTTTTAATTGAAATATCCATCGATATTGGAGTCAAGAAAATCCCAGAATAACTGTTGAAACCAATTACCAACGGAGATTCAGTGTCAATGTTTGGTGCGGTATTCTAGGTAATCGATTAATTGGACCATTTTTCATCGTTGGAACTCTAATCCAAGACAAATATCATAGACTCTTGTCAGAAAATCTTGCAAACTTTTTGGATACCTTACCGCTTGCAAAAGTGTATAGGATTTATTTTCAACAAGATGGTGCTCTTCCTCATAATGCTAGAAGAAACACTAATTGGTTAAATGCTAATTTTGATGAAAGGTGGATTGGCATGACTAGTCCTGTTCGATGGCCCGCCCGTTCTCCTGACCTCACCCCTGCAGATTTTTGGTTTTAGGGATATCTTAAAGATCAAGTATTTTTGACACATCCGGAAAATGTAGATATTTTAAGAGAGAGGATTATAAACGTTTGCCGTGAAATACCTCCAAACTTAATATCAAATGCTACAGATGAGGTAGCCAGAAGATGTCAATTATGTATTCAACAAGACTGAAGAAGTTTGAACAATTTTTATAAAGTTTTTTATTGTTACATTTTTGTTTTGCTGTTTATCTGGTATTTTTTTTTTGGAATTTGGAAAAAAATATTTTTTTCATAAAATATTTAACAAATATCAAGTTGTAATATATCGTTGGCTGCAGAAAAAAATTCTCTATTGAACAAGCCAAAAAAAATAATAACTTGACATTTAACAAAAAACAATTGAAAATCGCCTAATGTTCTGATGATATCAAAAAAAAATTAAAATCAGTGCTCGATTGTAGTATTTGTCAAGCCATTAACAACAGTCTTTTGTTTTTTAAATAGAACAATTATTAACAGAGTTACAGCTTGGGGCGTTTTTTATAAGACAGCCTGTATATTTGACTATTAGAAACACATCATAAGTTTGTTTTTTCATAATTTTAATACCCCATTACTGGACAGACATGTGTAACCTTGAACAACCGTCTACGCAGGAACTGAGAACATACATAGTCCCATCATTTTAGTTTTTTATAATGTTTTTTTTTTCATAATAGATACAAATTTAACAATGAAGACACATATTCATACTATACCTACTGTCACTAAACACTGAAATAAATAGCTGTATAAGGTTATTCACTGACACTGTTCAACACATTTCACTAAATACCACTTTCAGCGCTTCGTTCATATTAACATAAAAAATATGATTTTAAAATAACACTAATTTCTACAAAAGCAATCTGTTTTTACAAAATTATCTTTCATTGCATTTTGCTCTCTGCCACTGTTAGTTGTATACAGTTGGTTAAAAAGGAACAACATCAGTGATAAATGCACAGATACAGTCGATTTCGGGAACTGTCCAGTGACGGCGTAGACAAATGTTTTAGTACAGTTAAAAAAATAAATTATAATTGATTATTTATTTGAAAAGAAAATAAAATTTCAAATTAATATTTTATTATCCCTAAAAAAATTGATCCTCACCAAAGAATGCATTTACAATTACCAGAGTGCCTCTTATAGCCATTAAAAGTTCATAAAATTCAATTATTTGATTATTCTAAAAGGCACATTGAACATATTTTTGCCTTTACAATATAAAAAAATATTTCGTAGGACCGTGCAACCAAAAACTTCTCTGGTGGTTGGAGAATGAGGGTTTCCCTCGCCAGAGCGTTGTATATCGAACCCACCCTCCTACTACTCGATGAACCTACCAACCACTTAGATCTTAACGCCGTTATATGGTTAGATAAGTAAGTGTTATGCCATACACACATTAATTATCTGTAAACTGACATCAACACAATTTTTAGTTACTTACAAGGCTGGAAAAAGACTTTGCTCATCGTTTCCCACGACCAATCTTTCTTAGATAATGTATGTAACGAAATCATCCACTTAGACAACAAGAAATTGTACTACTACAAGGGGAATTACTCGATGTTTAAAAAGATGCACGTGCAGAAGAAGAAAGAGATGATCAAGGAGTACGAGAAGCAAGAAAAGAGACTGAAAGAATTGAAGTCTTCTGGTTCTTCTAAAAAGCAAGCAGTAAGTGTCAAAGAAAGTTTCTAAATAGATAGATTTAATCTGGTGTGCCTCTTTTTTATTTTTAGGAGAAGAAGCAGAAAGAAGCACTCACTAGGAAACAAGAGAAGAATAGGTCGAAGATGCAGAAACAAGAAGAGGACGTTACTCAGACTGAGTTGCTGCAGAGACCCAAGGATTATTTGGTCAAGTTTCGATTTCCAGAACCGCCTCCACTGCAACCACCAGTTTTGGGATTACATAGTAAGTAACCTTTTCTCAGACTTTTACAAACATATTCTCAAAAACCTTAACTTTATTGTTCGAGTTCTATGTTTAAATACAAAAAATACAAGTAAATACAGGTAAAAGTGTTGCATTACCAATGCTGTCTCATGAATGTCTATTTTATTCAGTGTAAGTGGGATATAACCTACAAATTATATGTCATATCTTAAATGTCATTGCTATGCCACGCCTACTAGCACAAAGCATTACTTTGTACCTACAAGACATGCTTTCATAGTATCTCTTAGTAGCGTGTTTTTGAGATACAAGGTGTTGAAGATTAATGAAAACATCGATTTCTTCAAGCTGAAAAGAACAGTTCTGGGAAACTATGTAAATAATAGCTTATTTAATTCGTAGACAATATTGTTAACTTGAATAGCTATGTAAAGTTATTTGATGTTGAATTAGATCCCGTTCACAAAATTTTACTAAAAAACTGTAATACTTACTCTTTGTCAACAAAAAATTCTATGAACTCATTTTTTAGTTACATAAATTCAAATCAAAGTTCTTTATTGGACTAACATATTTTTTTTTATCATAAATAAGTTTTCCAATTGTCACTATTACTTAAATGTGACCAGAAATGATCCTGCTGAAGGAAAATATTTGTGTGTACATCTTGACAATTTGTTTAGAGGTTGGTACCACTTACTTTGATGTGATAAATAAGAAAGTCAAATACAATTTGACTTTGGCATTCTTGCGACCAATCACCCCATATTACATAGATAAGTTTTTTCATTGTTTTGACAAAAAAATTAAAAAGTAGCGAACTTCTAACTTCTTTGAAAATCTGGAACTGCCTGGAGAATGTTTTATATTTTTGCATCATGGAAGAGCACTATTTCAGTGTTTATTTATTTACATTTTTTTCATTTCTAAATAGTTTCTGTACATTCATTAGAAATCATGAAAAATTAATAAAACAAATTCATGTATAAGATATTTTAATCGTTGAATTTCATAAGAAAATTGAAAATCCAATATACCTACACTACTTATAATAAAAACTAATATACAGGCTGTTACAAATTCACTTCTCACTACATGCATCTCGGAAATGGTAAGAGATACGAAGTAGCTTAAATGGGGGCAAAGTTGCATAATCAGGGGACATGCATCTTAGAAACGGTAAGAGATACGAAGTAGCTTAAATGAGGGCAAAGTTGCATAATCAGGGAACTAACATTATGCCTCTAAAAAATCAAAGCTATCATGATTAGTTTTTGAAATATTTGAAAAAAAACGAAATTTTGGAAATCCGTTTTTGTTTTATTTAAGCCTTGTTTGAGGTGATATTGAAAAAAGAAGCATATTTTCTCATGGCAACTTTTTGCCCTGTATCGAATGGCATAATCAATTTTTATGTAATGTTTTGTCAGGACCATCATCAACTTCAATTTTTAAATACGACCCTGGAAATTTTACTACATTTTTTGCAAGCCTTCATGACCCCCAATACTGTACTGCCTCAGCCCGAACCAGATTCAGACGTTTTGTCTCGAAAAATTCATCTTCAATGTATTCGTTCCAAATTTATCAATTTTTTTTAAATTTCTATGTTTCTTGAATGATCGTACACTCTAAGTGTCGTTAGACCCTGTGAGATCCACCTAGTTATTTAAACTATTACCATCACACGTTGCAATAAAACATTATTCAAGTTTTAATCTCCATCACCAGATCATACATAACTCGATAAATTGTGGAAAAAAATTTAGCAATATTTTCAAAAAACAATATATTAAATGATTTAAAAAATGTCCACAAATTTTCGATAGGAATATATGCCTTCAATAAAGGAAATATAAAAAAGACTTTTCCTCTTGTATTAAGTTATTTTAACAAATGCCATGGTGTACAATCAAAACTTTTAAGTTTCTTTTCTTTAGAAACCGAAAAATCACAACCACATTTCGATAACTCTTCTTGAGAATTTAGAAAAAAATGGACTCAATATTAAAAACGTAACAGCGTTTTCAGCAGATAACGCATCCCTCAATTTTAAGAAAAGTCAAGAGTGTTTTTACAGAACTCTAAAAAAAAAATAACGAAAATATTATACCGGTTGGTTGCATCTGTCATAATGCTGGAAAAAAGGACAAATGCTATTGAAATTTGATGTAGAGGTTATAGTTATCAAATGCTTCAATGAATTTAGCTCTTCGACGAATAAAGTCACGGCTTTAAAAGAACTATTTGAGCGGTGGGAAGTAGAATGGTCCGAAATGCTAAGGCAGTAGAAAGATTATTGAAAAATTTTCAACCCCTCAAATCCTATTTTTGCTCCTTAAATAACCCACCAGTTGTACTTGAACAATTTTTCCAACATGAATTAGCAGAAGCATATTTAGGGATAATTGCTAATGTTGGTAATACTTTAAACAATGCTATTAAAATCTTAAAGCTGTTTTACATTGACAATTTATTGATCAATTAATTGATGAAGTCGCTTCATCAAGAAATTGGACAAGTGTAATGCGCCAAATCAGCTGTCAAATAACTTCATCAATTTATTCATCAAGTTCTTGACGAATTAAAGGTGTTTTACATTGATAATTTATTCATCAATAAATTGACGAAGTTCTTCATGAATTAATTCACGAATGTATTGATAAACAGTGTGGTTTTACACTGCTACGGACTTTGTCAAGTTTTTTGACGCATGAATCGGTTCTACCAATGAATCAAAGAAGCAAATAAATTTCAAAAATGTCACCTTTCCACTCATAATTGTAGTGATACAACAGTGGTACCGTTCTGACACATATAAATATTAGTTTTTGTAAGTAACAAATCAGTAAAAACAATGCGAAACTAGCACGACGACACACAATTATTTACATATTCCAATAACATAACCTCATTACTGATCTGAGGCTGGAAATTTGTTGGGTTGGTACTTCCAAACTTCACGAAGAAATTGACGAAAATTAGAACATGCTCTAATTGGTCAAGAACTTGATGAAGTTATTTGACAGCTGATTTGGTGCATTACACTTGTACAATTTCTTGATGAAGCGACTTCATGAATTAATTGATCAATAAATTGTCAATGTATAACAGCTATTAGAAAGTGAAGACTGTCTAGTTTTGGATTTGTAATCTATAATGTCTGATTTAAAAGATTCTATACAAAATAAACAAGAAGAAAGGTTCTACAGATTTATAGCATCTCAAGTTTTTCTAAAGTGCAGTCATGATATAGCTATTAATATTTTAAAAAAAGAGGCTGATGTATTTTTTGAAAAATGTACCACATATCTAGAAAAACGGTTTAATTATACAGAAAATAAATTTAGTATTTTAAGTGCAGTGGCATTAAAAGTTGTGCCTGCATTTGAAAATATTATGAATATTATGGGTAGCTTTAATATAAATGGAATAGATGTAGACGTTCTTTTTGAAGAATTTGTTCAGTTAAAAATTTTTTTAAAAGAATTCAAAACTCTAAGAGCAGATAAAAAATGGATTAAGTTTTTAAAACATTATAATACTCCTAATTTGGAGTTAATATGCAATTTTATATTTTCTTTGCCCCACTCAAATGCTTCCTCGGGACGTATTTTTAGTTTAATGTTTGCTGCATGGCTTAAAGATAGAAACAGACTCCTTTGCGAAAAGTTGTGGCAGAGCTTATGATAAAATGTAATTTTACTGAGTTTTGTGTTGTTTTGTGTTTTATTTATTTGTTATATGTCCACATTATATTTGTACAGAATACTTATTGTATGTTCCTAGGTTCCACAGTTGTGGGAACCATGTAAATTATAGTTTATTTCATTCATAGACAGCACTAGTTGACTAACTGGTTTTTGTATATTTTACAAGAATTAAGCTAATTCAAGTTTAAAAATTTTCCTAAAAATCTTATTAAGTGAAGTCAAACAATGTTGCAAAATTTATTTAACCTCATAGATAGGTTAATAATTAATAATTATCTGGAATAAAAATTAATGATTAAATTAAAATAAAAAAAAAATTAAAATAAGATTAAAATTTTAATTAAAAATTAAAGATTAAAGCTAATTATTTTTACTAACTAGTATTTTTATCTCAAAAATTAATTGTTGTTTTGACTTAACAATAATTAACCAGACATGGTCTAACGTGTTATCAATTATCTCGATAACAGTTACCGTGCAATTTTCCAATTACATTGCAATTCCGAAATTTTAAAAGAAAACTGTATAATCTCATTTTTTAGTCGAAGAAAAATTCTCGTGAACCACTTTAGCAATACCTATTAGCAGTACCTATTAGCAATACTGAATCGTTTCCACCCTAAACGGACCAAGTCTCTCGCCCTCCTTTCCCCCTCCACCCCCTTAAATGAGATGACACACATTTACATTCAATAAAACGAAAAAGAAAAAATTAATAAGTATACATATCATCCTTTTGACTTTAAACAATTTAAATTATTTAAAGTAGCGATGGCAAAATTACCAGTTTTTTGAAAATCAGTACTTGTTTGGGGAATGTCACTTTTAGTAGTGATTTTAATGAAATGAAACAAAAATTATGCAATTATGGATAATTATAAACACTCTTAGAACAATTACTGAAGTGGCAGAGAAACTAAGACAATGTGATAGAGAATTCATTCATTTCTGATTGTCACCGGTAATATTTGGTTATTCTTGGGTCATTTTTAGTAACTACCATCACTAAAAATAAGTAAATGATTGCATATTACCATTTATTTCTTTTATTTTTCCTGTTTAGACGTTACTTTTGCATACTCGGGCCAAAAACCTCTATTCGTGGAGACAGACTTCGGCATCGATATGAACAGCAGAGTAGCCATCGTAGGACCAAACGGGGTTGGAAAATCTACATTCTTAAAGCTCCTGACCGGCGATCTCAGTCCGCTAAAGGGAGAGAATAGGAAAAACCACAGACTGGTAAGCGTTACAAAGTCCTACAAGTCGTCAAATATTTATTTATGTTTTTTTTTTACAGAGAATAGGAAGATTCGACCAGCACTCTGGCGAGCACTTAACTGCGGAGGAGACTCCTTCAGAGTATCTGATGAGATTATTCGACTTACCTTATGAGAAAGCTAGGAAGCAATTGGGCACCTTCGGGCTGGCCAGTCACGCTCACACGATCAAGATGAAAGACCTCTCTGGAGGGCAGAAGGCTAGGGTAGCCTTGGCCGAGCTGTGCCTTAACGCCCCCGATGTACTTATTTTGGTAAGTTTTCGTCTGTAGAGATGTATAGTAGGATCATATTCGATGCACAGTAATAAATCATTGCCTGTCAAGGGATCCAATGCAGTACGGTTTTAAGGGGTTTAGAAATAGAATAATTTCTTTATGCATTATGAAGGGATGAAGGGGCCAGTTCACGTCTAGCACCCCTGTTCCTACAAAAATTTCTTTATTCTTATAAACTATTTATTTTAAATGTAATTTATTATAAATAAAATTAGGAAAATCGCTGAATGTCGGTTGGCACACCAATGGGGTGACATAACTGCTAGTGATTTTATCCTCGATAACTGGGCTAAATCGTTCCTTTCGGAGATTCGAATCATTGATACAAATTCCTTTGTTAGAATCAATTCTTTAGACTCGTTCACGAATCCGCCGCCGTGGTATCGGAGAAGATACCAGCTCATACGAAAATCATTGATAATTAAATACTTAAGATATTTAATATTTTATTTATTTAATAATACAAAAATAGTAGTTCTTTTATTTATTTTAACAGAAATGTCCCACAAGTTATATTCAGTTCTGTAATTGAGATATGTTTAGGGTGGCCCAAAAAAAAAACTAATATTTTTTTTCATGTCTCTTGTGAAAATATGTTAGTTTATCATGTTTTAAGTGCCGCCTCAAAAAATCAGCTCAAAAAAAATTTTTTTAGAGGTCGCTCCAGATTTTTAAAATTTTCCAAAATCGTCAAAAATTGAATTTTTTTAAAAATTCTTTTTCTTATTTTATCATTTGAAAAAAATCTGGATTCTGAAAATTTCAAATTGATATTTTAATTTCTAAAGGTCACTCATAATTATTTTAACTTTAAAAGTAGTGTACCTAAAATGTTTTCGACTGACCTCTAAAAGGAAATATCAACGAACGAATAATTTTTTTTATTGAATTTGATGAACAAAAGAATAGAAATAAATCACGAGACACTTAAAAAATTTCTCGAGGCAAAATTTACACCCGCACAGTGAGTATCAAATATGTATAATTTTTTAAAATTTAAGGGTTTCGTGACTTATTTCTATTCTTTTGTTCATCAAATTCAATAAAAAAAAATGATTAGTTCATTGATATTTATTTTTAGAGATTGCTCGAAAACATAGGTACGCTACTTTGAAAGTTAAAATAATTATTAGTGACCTTCAGAAATTAAAATATTGATTTGAAATTTTCAGAATCAAGATTTTTTTCAACCTAGAAAATGCTAAAATAACGAGAAAAAAAATTAAAAAAAAAAATTAAAGTTTTGGCAATTTTGGAAATTTTTAAAAATCTTGAGCGACCTCTAAAAAAATTTTTTTTGAGCTGATTTTTTGAAGGGGCTCTTAAAACATGATAAACTAACATATTTTCACAAGAGACATGAAAAAAAAAATATTAGTTTTTTTTTTGGGCCACCCTAATATACTTATTATAGATTTATTGTCAAATTGAAATTTTACCCTTGTTTCGGGTTTCATGAATCATGAATCCTGAATCCAACACCGTAGAAATTTAATCCTTTGATTCCCACTGCGGTATCGTTCTTTTAGAATGATTTGTTCAGGAACGACAGAGCTCTATCGATAACACAGACTGACAAAACTTAAAACCGGAAACCAGATTATATTTTTTTCAAGGTTTTAGATGATTTGAATCCGAATCTGCCCTCAGAATTACTCCGTCACGTCAGGTTTTCGAGATATGCTACCCTGAAAGTGCTAAAAAAATGTTTTTTTGCCATATTTGAGGTTAAGTTGCATCGCGAAATAGTTTTCCTAACAAAACTCGTTATGGCATCTAAAAGTACTACTCTTTCTTATCAATCAATATTCATTTTGAATCATTCGTATATCCTCTTTCCTCTCATTGTCAGAGAAACTGTCCATTGAATTGGCGTAATTGATTAACTTGGCGTATTCGTCGATATTCAGAAATTAAGTAGCATTGGATGAAGACTCAAAAAGAGAGGAGAATCAGATTACAAACACCTAAATTCCCACTGGCTCTTCGGGTTTCTGGGTCGCTGATTACGAACTTGAAGTTAGAAGTACAAAATACAGAATGGTGGATCCAATATAGTAGATGGATTAAAAAAAAAGTTGGAATATACATAGAAGTGAAAACAAATTTTGTCGAATACTACACAAATTTGCGATTTTTTTTTATAAAATATCTTCATATTACGATCACTATAGCACTTATTCTTCAACACAGGCTTCATCCTGTTTCTACTATAAACAATAGGGTTGTTGACCAAATTTCAAAAAGTAGATAATATAATTCTACACGTACTAATTAGTGTGTATGCACAATTAGAGATTGAGAAATGCGTTGGAACAGTTTTAAAATAATTAATTAAAACTGATTTTTTGTATGTATTTCAAAACGGCTGTGACGTCATAAGGGGTACCTTGTAGTGAAATTATGTGTAGATGATTGCGTAAAAGAAAAAAATTGGAGGAAGAAGATGCTCTGTCAACACTGTCAGTAGTGTCAGTCTGTCAGTGACATTGTCGCATAAAATATTTTCAAGTCTACAAGTTTTTTCTTAATTTTCGAATTCCTTTATTAAGTAAAATTATTATTTAGTAATAATCATTTAATATCTTCCTTCCCTTAGAATTAAAGCAGAATGTGTGAAACGGGATTTGTGAAAGCTACTTCGAAAATTTTACCGAAAATTGATATTTTTATGATCATGAATTGAATTTTTAAAAAGAGACAATCGTTTTAATATTGGCGGAATCAGAGGTATAAAAGCATTCAGGTAAGGATTAACATATTTTATGAATGATTTTATTGTGTTTATTTACAATATAAATAATAAATATAAATACCTATTTATTTACGGAAAATTATAGTGCAGTTCGGGAGTCTTATGGAGATAATGCATTTGGCTATGTGGAATGTGGAACAAAACACCACTTAAATTTTGTTGAATCCATTACAATCAGGAAATTAATAATAACTATCACAAATACTCTTAATTGATAGACTGCTGTCACTAATGTCACTACTGTCACTTTTGTTTAAAAAACAGGAAACAGGGTAACAGGGTTTGATGGACAATTTTGATATATTTCTTCTTCTTCAAAATTATGCAATAGGATCGCTACTAACTTCTTGTTCAATTGCCCCTTATGACGTCAGACTAGTTTTTAAGTAACACAAAAATTCATAAATGATTTCTACCACTAATTTGTCATATATTTAAAATTTGACTATACAGGCAGGTTCTTTTATAAAAAAATCTTTGTACCAACAACAATTTGTATATGGTTTGTTTTTATAGTCAACAACCCTATTCTGAGAATGTTGAGTCGTTGAATCCAAGTGTAGGATTAGGATTACACTTTCGAAAATCAAGGTGGCAGATGGCAGGTGAGGTGATTCTGTAACACCGTAACCTTAGGGAATGAATTTTCACTATGAACAAATTTTAAAACCATAGACTGTAGACTATAAATTCTGGGAGTCGAATTTCCAGGCACAAAAACCTTTACTACAGCAGATTCCTGAACCTCACAGCCCTGTTATTCCCCGAATATCTACGAATACGCCAAACTAATCAATTTCAACAAATGTTTTATCAGAAAGGAGGACAGATGTTCAAGGATTAAAAATGGATTTTGACGAAGAGTAGTATTATCAATTACCGTAGTGAGTTTTGGGAAGAAAAACTACCTGGTGACTTAACATCACAAATATAACAAAAACACTTTTTTTTCACTTTTAAGTTAGAACATTTCTAAAACCTGCAAAGGAGCACTTCTGGATTTGGATTTGGCACATTGAAAACTTTTGGGAAAGTACGATTTAATTAGCTCACTTTTTTATGTTAAAAAGTTTGAAAATAGTGAGGAACAATTAATTTGCTTATAGTGTGACGAAGTAAAAGTAATGTCATAAATCTTGTTTTCAGGATGAACCTACAAACAACTTAGATATTGAATCGATCGATGCATTGGCAGAGGCAATAAATGAGTATACAGGAGGTGTTATAATTGTTTCTCACGACGAACGTCTTATAAGGTAAGTAGTCTAGACAGATATTTTTCATTTATAAATTTTCAATTCAATTTTCAATAAAAAAAATATGCATGCTAAAAATTGAAAATAGTAAATTGTATATAAAGACTTTCTTTATGATTAAATTATATATTTGCCAGTAATGTCATTTTCTACATGAATTATTTGCAGCGGTCACCTAAAATGAAGACTAAAATGACTAAATAGATTGTTTTTAAGTTCCTACAAGTTTTACTTTTGTTACACAATAATTAGAGCATGGTTCTAAGAGAAAAAATCTATGAACATGCATATGTTTTCCAAATTGCAGTGTTAAATTTTAGGAAAAATAAATGATTTTTTCCAATATAAAAGAAACTGGACAAGGAAATTTATTGAAATGTTGTACTTTCCGTCTTTCCGAAGTCAGTTGAACATGTATAAAAACATCTAGCAATAAAATTTAATGAGTTTCATAGGGGTCCCTAAAAGTTTTTTTCTAAAGGTAAAAAAATATAATAATATGTATACAGTATAGACTCACCTTAATCCGAATATCCACTAATCCGGCCCGACGAATGCCCGTTTCGATGGTCTGAACAAAACTCTTTAATTCGAACAAAATTCGATTTAACGTATGTAGTGCTGATTACAGAGTCAAACTACATAATAAAAAGTAACCGCTAAAAACGTAATTCTCCGGCAGTCGCGGGGAAACCTTATGCAAGTCGGAATCTTTCTCGATTAGATCTTTTTATTTGAAATATTATTGCCGTGCAAGCATGTCACAAAAAAGAACATGTGACATGTTTACCCTATTGCAAAAAGTGGATATTCAAAATAAATTGGTTTTTTAAAGTCTTCTTTTTTATTTTTAATAAATGCATTTCCATATTTTACGATTTAATGTTTGGTTTTACTGTTATTTTTTGCCTTCTCAGTAACACATAAATTCTAATTCATATTATATGTACGTACATAAATATATTTACATATTATGTACATATTTACTATCCAGTAGAAAATATCGGTAATTCAAACTTATCTCTTTAAGCCCGTGTTTTAATTAGTTCGGATTAAAGAGTCTATACTGTATAATGTGTAGAAAATTTCTATCATATGTTCATTTGGCCAACAAAATATTTTAATTATTATTAATATTAGTAAACAAAATATCCCTCTTATTTCTCCGTTTCACAATAATTGTAATATGAATGATTAATAGAATGTGTCTATAATAAATTAAAATTACCTGAATCATACCAAATTCTGTATTGCTGCACTGCACTGCTAGGCAATTCGTCAACCACTTGTCACAACTGAGATTTATTGCCCAGTCGCCCAGTGCAGCTGTGTTATATGCCGATTGTTTGCACGCACATTCTTCAACTGAGCGTATACATTTCTACCACTTCCATGCTCGTATTAATATTTTTCAGTTGTCTTCGTTGTTTACTATATTTTTCAAACTATATATTCCAATTCCCATTACATAGGCAAAAATTCTCTTTCTGGAACTCAGAAACTAGGCTGTTTGAAAAAACTTTTTTTTTCTTCGATCTTTTACACTTCTGTCTAAAAAAGCTAAGTACGGTCCTGTCATGAACGGCCTAGGAAGGACCCTGCTATGTGTAAAAGAAATCTTGCACTTAGCTTTTAATTACTGATTTTTTTTTGTATGTAGGGAGACCAGGTGCGCTCTTTACATAATCGAGGATCAAACAATAAACGAAGTAGACGGAGACTTCGACGATTACAGGAAAGAACTACTGGAAAGCTTGGGAGAAGTTATCAACAGCCCGAGTATAGCGGCCAATGCCGCGGTCGCTTAGTTAATCGAAATTTTTTAATAGTGAATATTGTGTATCGTGAAATGGCCTTATAACAAGTGTAATAATAGTTTTTAAAGTGCATGAGGATCGGTAAGGACAGTCCAAAATGTATTTATTTTATTAATCTGTATTTTTATCGATTTGTGCAGTCTTACGGACGCTCATGCGTTTTGAGGATTTTATTGCATCAAGTTTTACTAATTGGTATAGGTTCAGGTTTTTATATTACAGTTGAATATTTGAAATTTTCTCATCGTGTATTTTTTGTCATATGTTTACATTTATTAAATCCGAATTGGCAACAGCAATATACATTTTTTCTCCCTATCCTTGCTTTCTTCTGTTTTTCTTTTTCTAGACTTAATAGGGCTCTATAGCAAATAGGCAACCAGCAATACATTTTTATAGATTTTATTACACAGTTTGTCTAAATATGAATTAACGCACAAATAACAGACTTTCCCCCATTTTAACATAGATTTTATATAAAATGGACTTCGTTTGAAACTCAAATAACTTTTTGGTGCATCCTGCAACGTAAAAATTTCATCCCAAAAATTCCACCTTCAAGTAGTAGTAGCAACCCCTAAATTTTTAAATGGGAAGTAGGGGCTTGTGATACCACATTTGAAAGGTCTTTTCATTCTCTATTCAAAAATTCTATGGTTTTCATATTTTTTTCAAAAATTAGAAGTTAAAAAATTAATTCATCTGCTTGACGAAATTCGCTACTGCAAACTAAAAAAAAAAACTTAATTTCAATGTAGAAGATGGTCAAAATGACTTGCTTAGAAAGAAATCGAAGGCTGTAAGATCAGGAGAACGTGCTGGCCGTTCTAGCGATCTTCGCTTTCCTATATACCGATTTGGAAATGTTAAGTCGAGGTATTGTCAGACATTGATTCTTTAATGTGGTGGTGCTCCATCCTTCTGGAACCATATCACATCGGCTAGAACGTATGGATTTACTTGAGCAGGATATAAATTTGCTAAAGTCGGTATGACATTATTTTGGAGCGAAGTAAAGAATTACCTCCATTCATATTGCCATCAATGAAAAAGTGACCAATGACATGACCTCTAATTATCCCCGCCAAGCATCAACCTTTTCAGGATTTTGTGTATTTAATTCAGTGTTTGTAACCGTATGATAAATATTGTACGTATATGATAATTTCATGGCTACATACGATGTACGATAGTACACGCAGATTGTACGGTAATTTCCATTATGATGCAAATTTTGAGAATTCATTCATTTTATTCCTACCCAATAACGCGATGATTCTTTTTGCCAACAGCGCTGTCTATTGGTTCTGTGCTTCCTTAGGTAACGTGTGCCGCCTGGCCGACTCGTGTGTCAATCATTTCATCCAGGAACCTGATTTCATCCATTTGTCACATTCTTCCACAAAATTTACTTGTCGTTGCTGCCGGCAAAGTAAATTGCATCATATATTGTTTCTTAATGATGTGCAAATATAGGAAGTGTTTAAAAAGTAATTTTAGGGGAGATCTTCCAATACATTTTTTCGATTTGAGCCCCCGTGAGAAAATATTCAAATCTCAAAATGGCCGAAAAAATTAGCTTTCATTTTTTTTAGTAAATTTTTAGTTCATATTTGCTTAGCTTTTTCTATTGATAAAAAAAGAATTTTTGTAAAAAATCCGTCAAAAATGACGATCGTTTTTGGTAACTGTTATACTAATTATGTGTACTTAATCGGCAAGGACAAATAATTTATTTTTTTGCTCGTAAACCATTAGGTATACGAAAAAATGGGAAGAGTAAAAAAGTTTCTAAATGAAAGGCTATTTTTCGTGTTGGAATTAGCTAACTTAGATAAAAGCTGTGAGAGAAATAAAACCAAGGGGTGCTAATTTCTTTCATTTAAAGACATAAACCAGTAAAAAGACTACCAAAAAATACCATTCAACTAGTTGTTAATGTGTACCAAAATTCAGATGTCGTAAGTTTAACGGTTTCTGTGAAGAAAAAAAATAAAACTAATTTTTTCGGCCATTTTGAGATTTTAATATTTTTGAGGAGGAGCTCAAATCAAAAAAATATATAGGAAGTACCCCCCCGCCCCCCAAAAAAAATTACTTTCTAAACACGTTCTTAAAATATTTGCACATCATTATAAAACAACCTGTATAATTATCAATATTACGTTTAATATGATTTATTTATTCATTATACAGGGTGTTTCTTAATAAAGTAATATTTAAGGTTATTCTTGGGTCCATTTTAAGAAAAAAAACTTCATATGAACATATATCCTAAAAGTCTTAACTTTTGAACTACAGGGTGCTAAAGTTTTATGAAAAAACTTTTTTTTTTAGATAACTGGTACTACCCTAGATATTTTCTCAAATTTGGTACAAGCCGGCACATTTTTTAAATAAGCCATTTCGATGAGAAATTCAATTCTCTACAAAATTTTTCCTATGAACTACACCAAAATTTTGTTTCGTTTTCGTGCTATACAGGGTGGTCCAGATTTTAATAGACAAACTTCGGCAAAGTACTAAACAACAAAAATTAACATCACCTTGCTCTATGAACATAGGCGCAGAAAGCCACCATTTATGAGATACAGGGCGTTGATATTATTAAAAATAAAACAATTTTTTTAAATATCTGGAAACGGCTTTATCAAATTTATCCAAATTTGGTACACTTTTTTTTCAAATATTTCCCCTAGTTTTGTATGCACATAGTTCAAATTCAAAAACCAGTGGCGGAGAAACAAAGACGTTGTTTACTTATTTAGAGTAAAACTTCTACGCCAGTGAATTAAATGGTAATATGAATACATTTTATAATGATCTGAAATATTCCGAATAATATTCCATATGAAAAAACACTATTTTATTTTTGTCGAAAAGTGAATGGTTTACGAATTATGAGACATATTATCCAAGTAAATAAAGCGTTGAAATAGGGAAAAATAAAACGAATTTGGGTGGTCCAGATTTTTAATAAACGAACTTCGAGAAAGCATTAAACAACAGAAATTAACATCACATTGCTCTATGAACATAGGCGCAGAAAGCCACCATTTGTGAGATACAGGGCATTGAAATTAACAAAAGTAAAACAATTTTTTTAAATATCTGGAAACGGCTTTATCAAATTTATCCAAATTTGGTACACATTTTTTTTCAAATATTTCCCCTAGTTTTGTATGCATATAGTTCAAATTCAAAAACCAGTGGTGGAGAAACAAGGACGTTGTTTACTTATTTAGAGTAAAACTTCTACGCCAGTGAATTAAATGGTAATATGAATACATTTTATAATGATCTGAAATATTCCGAATGAAAAAACATTATTTTATTTTTGTCAAAAAGTGAATGGTTTACGAGTTATGAGACATATTATCCAAGTAAATAAAGCGTTGAAATAGGGAAAAATAAAACGAATTTGGGTGGTCCAGATTTTTAATAAACAAACTTTGAGAAAGCACTAAACAACAGAAATTAACATCACATTGCTCTATGAACATAGGCGCAGAAAGCCACCATTTGTGAGATACAGGGCGTTCAAATTAACAAAAGTAAAACAATTTTTTAAAATATCTGGAAAATCGCTTCACAAATTTATCCATATTTGGTACAAACTTTTCTTCAAATATTTCTCCTAGTTCTGTATGCACACAGTCCAAATTCAAAAACCAGTGGCGGAGAAACAAAATGATATCGTTTCCTTATTTAAAGTAAAACTTTTATGCCACTGAATTAATTGGTAATATGAATACATTTTACAACGGTCTGAAACATTCCGGATGAAAAAACACTCTTTTATTTTTGTCGAAAAGTGAACGGTTTACGAGTTATGAGACATATTATGACTCGGTTTTCCAAATTTAAAAAAAAATAGTTTATTTTTGTTCATTTCAACGCCCTGTATCTCATAAACGGTAGTTTTCTGCGTCTATGTTCATAGAACAGTGATGTTATTTTTTGTTATTTAAAACTTTCACGAAGTTTGGCTATTACAATTTGGCCCACCCATTTGTTTTATTTTTCCCGATTTCAACGCTTTGTTTACTTGAATAATATGTTTCATAACTCGTAAACCATTCACTTTTCGATAAAAATAAAAGCATGTTTTTTCATCCGGAATGTTTCAGACCTTTATAAAATGTATTCATATTACTAATTAATTCAGTAGCGTAGAAGTTTTACTTTAAATAAGAAAAGAACATCCTTGTTTCTCCGCCACTGGTCTGAATTTGAACTATGTGCATACAAAACTAAGGGAAATATTTGAAAAAAAATGTGTACCAAATTTGGATAAATTTGATAAAGCCGTTTCCAGATATTTAAGAAAAATTGTTTATATTATTGTTAATTTCAATGCCCTGTATCTCATAAAAGGTGGCTTTCTGCGCCTATGTTCATAGAGCAGTGATAGTTTCCTGAAGTTTGTCTATTAAAATCTGAACCACCCTGTATTTAAAAAACTGCAAATGTGCTTTTTCACCCCTATCTTCTAAATCTAAATGAGGAAGTTGCATCAAATTTTCTTTTGAAGCAAAATTTATTTAAAGTGCAGAAAATTGCTATAAAAGTATGTTTCTATATGTAAAACCCCTTTAAACTTAATTATTAATATGATAATATAATATGTAATTAATGATTAAAATATTGAATATAATTAGGTGGGCGAAAACGGTCCCTAATTGGTCAAGCAATTTGTGACATCAGGATCCGGTATATGAGTGTTAAGACTGTCAAGACGCGGGAGGCTGGCGCTGTCATTACATTGGTGTCATCTAATCTTGTGATGAATTAGTTTGTGTTCGCATTGAATTCTGAGTAGTTTTGAGTAGTTAGTTTTAGTGTATAAATTTAAAGACAAGTTTCGTTAATTTTCATAGTCTACGAACATTTTCACGATATCTACCCAGGCAGCTTTAATGCGTGGCGGCTTCAGGATCAGAATTACAATACGAGAACGTGAAAAACATGACAGTGTCTGAATATAAATATTATAGTACCCATGTGTAGTTCCACAACACTAACTGCCCCCAACAATCTATTTAATGTACCAAAGGATGAGAAAATGAGGAAGAAATCATGCAAACATATTTTATAGAAAATCTATTTTTGACAAATTATCAGATTGCTCTTGGACAAATCGAGCTTCTGTAGCCATAGAATGTACAATTTTTAAAATAATTAATAATATTGTGTTAAGTAAAAGTAAATAATATAAAATCTATTCGGCACACGTAGTTTGCATAAACACAAATGAATAAGAGTGAGACAGACTACAGAACACGACTCTACACGAATCGTTTAATTTGGACCGATACCGGATCGTGACGTAGAGTCAGCCGTGTTTGTGGCAATTGACTTTTTACGATGAAAGGAATTTAATAAAATAAAAAAAAAGTGAAACTTCCCCATTTCCATCCTCTAATTTAATAGCACTCTGCAGTTTTTTCATCTAAAATGACCATTTGAACGATTCATGTAATAAAATATCTTGAACGTCATAGTTCCTTTTAAAATCCTATATTCAATAGCCTAGTAGGGTAGATCGCTTGTTCAAGTTAGTCTATCACTTATTAAGCAAGAACAGAACTGATGCAAGCCCAGAATGATACCTACGAGGAAGGAAAAGGACTGTTATATGGTGCTGGAATCGCTGATGACGCTGATTGATCGGAAAATACTCTATATTATTGGCAACTTTTTCAAATTTTTAGTTTTCAGAATTCTCCAAAAGCGTTTTTCTCTAAACGACATTTTTTTGGTTCACGGGAACTCTAGTTCAAAAGGTTATGAACCGATCGGTCTGAAAATTGAAAGTGTGTTTCTTTATGAAATTACGAAGAACGTGAACCAACAGTTGGGATGATATAATTTTAAGGGTTTTTTATTCAAAATAAGTGAAAAAAAAAAAAATGGTGAAAATCAATAATTTTTTTTAAACACGTGTCAAAACTTCAATTTTCACAATTTTTGATTCGCAATAAGGTTCAAATTCTTAGAAAACATGTTAATAATGCTGGACAATAACCATTTTGCTTCCAGATCAGAATTGTGACGTCCACATATCCCGTGAACAACCAACTCGGATGATGACCTCTGGTGGAAAACAGCCTCTAACTTCGGCATTTTCAAAAATTTGTAAATGTAGTTCAAAATATTGGTAAAATAATGTCAGTTTGAACAAATTCTAATCAAAAGAATTCATAAGAAACACCTGAAAATCAGTCAATAGTGCTACTAGGTAGTAATGGTTCGTTTTACATAACAACACCTTGTACGCGAGTTTCAATGCAAATTTTTACATCATCATTCATAGACAGTGCGTTTTCTTTCGAGGGATCTCAAAGAAATAAAAATGTGTCGCTTTAGGTAATTTTCTTTATTTTAAAATAAATCAAACATACACTCTACAGAATAAGTTAATAAAATATTACAACATAATTAAAGGAATAAAAATAATTAATATCTATCGCACAAGAATATTTAATACATATAGTAACATTCCTTAGCCAGAGTACAGCAGATACGAGACGCCCGCGGTGAACCGACCCTAGCTCGGATAAAATTTGAAAATTTGAAAGACAATACGAGCGCCGCTACGATTCTAGTCCACCGCGGGCCGTCACAACAAGTAATATATACTGTATATATATTTAAGGGTATAAGGCACAAATATGAACATTTCCAAGCAAAGGAAAGTTTATCGATAAAATTTTGGGAGCACTAGAAAAGCCGCCGTTTCCTCGACTCGATCTCCTTGACTAGATACACTTAAGTCCATTTATACTAGCGTCATCGTACACTCTCCAAATTTTTGAGCAAATTTACACCAGCAGTCGGAAGATTAAAAAAAAAATTAAAAATGTTCATAGTGCGTCCGAAAATACAAAAACGATACATGAGAAAAATGCTTTAAAATAAATTGTAAAGATCTAGTCTACTGTTTGTTAACAATGTTACACTTAAGGCTACGCAAAAAAAAAAAACTGAAAAGAACCAAGAGAAATGCGGATATATATATATATGGTGTAGGTTTGAGTATTTATACATATACAGATTCTCAAAGAGATAACAATACCATTAAAAATAAATTAACAGGTTATAATTATTCGATGTTAAACAAAAATCCAACATAAAAAAAAAACTATAAAAAATATATCATGAATAAGGCACTTACTTGTTCTTTACAAATGGGCGCGTTCAAAACACGCGCCCGTACTTGCAATTTAAAAAATTGATAACTGATATTGACCCTTAACAATCTACAGAAGCTCTACAGGGGTCTGGTGAAGTTGGCCGGGAACATCCCCTTTTCCCCGTTATCTTTTATGCCCATCAACCAGCCCTCCTCCTAAAAATGAAATATTTTACTAGCGACATTCTCTTATCGATCGTTTTGCTGAAATTACCTGTTCCTCGGGATCATCGTACTCCACTACAGAAATAATTTCTCCTACTTCGAACGACAGCTCGTCCACGTCCTCTTTGTTATACTTGTACGTCGCCTTCACTCTGTAAAGGACGCCTGGGGGCAAGTTTTCGGTGCTGGCACCTTAAAAAATTACGGGGGCGTTAAAATTAAAGCTTTACCTTTAGAGTAAAGGTCGTGGTAGGATGTAAAAGAAAATTCAACAAAGTAAGCCGTGAACTTTAAAAACGGTACAATTTGACTTTTGAGGTTATACAGTTTGACATTTGACAAATTCTGTCACTTTCGATGTCCGTCTGTCTAATTCAATTACGATTTACCGAGATAATTATACCAGTTTTAAAAATTTATTTACATATAACATAAATAAAGAGAAAACATGTACAAAAAAAAGTATATGTGACATTTGAGTTTATAAAATTCTGACATTTGATTCTTTATACCACTACCGATGTGCGACTGTCTAATTCAATGATGGCCTACTGAGACAATTAGGCTGCAATTTAAAAAAATAAATTCCAAACATTGGCTAGTGTTTGATTTATTCATGATACTGACTTATTTGCACTCAGCGCAGTGAGAATATTTCTGTTTTTTATTAATTCAAGCGGATATTACAGGACAAAGAAATGCTCAGTGGAGTCGAAATGCTGTTGCTGTTGAAACAAAAAGTCAGCGTGTAACGCGGCAAAGTAGCTCAAAAAATAGTGGTACGCTTACAATAATTCGCATAAAGCTGAAGTTGGTATGAATGTTGGGAACACCATTATAAATGAAATGTGAAAAGTCCTCATCGATTCCACATCTGCAAAAAAATTTATTCAAGGTCAAAGTTCGCAAATATGGGTTGATTGCATTTTTCAGCCAAACGGTAAGTTTTATCATAAAAATAGATCTGACAAAAATTGTAGACCATGCAATTATCTATAAATATTGTGCTTACACTTTTTTCCTGAGAATTACCATTTCTGAGATATAGCGACTCAAAAAGTTGAAAAAGTTATGTTATCCATAATATGCACACGTTTCCACGCCACCTGTGAGGTAGTGCACTTCGGGCGTTTTTTTTTAACATGGTCTGATGGCGATTCAACATTGGAGCACCCCTTTCTGCAGTTGCAAAAAGGTGTATGCTAAGTGCGGCTGCAAAAAAGCTGCGATTGTTTTGTTCATTAGCGTGTACCAGTTGTCAAGGCCAGTCGTGCTCCAATGATGAATCACCATCAGAAGAGAATTCTTACGATATCAGCGAGGAGACATCTGATGCATCGTTGTTAGAACAATTTACTTGTATCCAGCAGGAAGAAGAAGAAGAAGAAGAAGAAGGAGGAAGATAAGAAGAAGAAGACATTACACTTGAAGTTCCATTTGATAATTATCAGATGAATAGTTTTCCGCAATTACTCATAATTCAAACCGCTTTCATCAGTTCCAATAGTACCATTTTTTATTTAATACAATATTATTTAATTAAGGACCACAATAATTCGTGGAATAGGCCCACCGGGGAAACCATGTTAAAAAAAAACGCGCCAAGTACACTACCTCACAGGTGACGTGGAAACGTGTGCATATTATGGAGAACACAACTTTTTCAACGTTTTGAATCGCTATATCTCAGAAATGGTGACTCTTAGAAAAAAAAGTGTAAGAACAATTTTTATAAAACTTACCATTTGGCTGAAAAATGTAAAAAGCCCATATTTGTGAACTTTGACTTTGAATAATTTTTTTTTGCAGATGTGGGATCGATGCGGACATTTCACATTTAATTTATAACGGTGTTCCCAACATTCGTACCAATTTTCAGCTTTATGCGAATTATTGTAACCTTGAATGTCTATTTTGACCGGGCTAGTGTGTATAGTATAAACAAATTTCTACAGTTTTGATGTGCACGAATTGTGTAATTTGTACTTTAACGTATAGATAACGTAAAATTTGGTTATAAAATCTAAGGTTTCAAAATTTGTATCACTTTTGATGATTCAATGATGCAACGATGGCCTACTGTACAACTTCTCTGTAAGGTGGGAGGTACTGTATAAATAATTTGAGGTTATAATATCTGACATTTGACAATTTGTACCATTTTTGATGTGCAATCATCTGATTCTACCTATTAAGGTAATTAGACCACAAAATTCCATAAAATTTCAAATGTTTTAAAAATGAACTTCGTACAATATAAATAAAGAGCAATATATTGTACAAAAAATAAATATATATTAATATGACATTTGAGGTTATGCAATCTGACATTTGACAATTTGCATCACTTTTGATGTGCAACTGTCTAATTCAATGATGGTGAACCGAATAGTATGCTTCAGGTGTTCTTGAAAATAGTACATTCTTTATAAAAAAATGACAACTGTTGTGATGCGCAGACATATTAATTCATAGAGACACAACGCTACTTATGTCAATCATCTTATATTCGTATAATATTTGCCATCGCAACAAAATACAATATGTAACTTGTATTATAGAAGCCTCTGCATAAAGTCAGCGAATTATAGTTTTAGAAGATATGCTGCTAGAGACAGGGGGTATCTCCTATTTCCCGAAAAATAGAAAAAATGTAGTTTAGATAGTTCGAATTTCTAGAAAATTTGAATTTGGAAAATCGCATCTTGATTCTTTTAAGAGATAAGCGTTTTTCTATTTTGGTCTTTTATTTTATTTTTGTAAAGATTAAGAACACAGAAGAGTTATAACACAAACTTATTATTTTTTTCAATGGAAATTTTTTTTTTGTAAATCAATTGTTCCCTTGATAGAATTCAGAGTACAATCTATTTTTTGTTTTCATCGATACATTAAATACACGCATGGCACACTTTTTTTTTAGAAAACAATTGAATATCAAACAATTATTTTTATCATATTCCTTGAAGAACTGGAAGTATAGAAAAATATTGTGTACACCACTGTATTCTACGTATCTTTGCAAACATATTTTTGCAGAGAAAAAGGTTATATGGCACCATAGAAAGCAAAAAAAAAATTGAAAAACTCAAACAAATGAAGATATCGATATGCCGTTTTCATTATTGAGATAATTAGACCACAATTTAAAAAAACAAACTTTACAAAATATAACTTACGAGAAAATATATTGCACAGAGGTACAATATGACATTTGAGGTTATGAAATCTGACATTTGACAGTCTGTATCACTTATGTTGATGTGCGATTGTTTAATTCGAGTTACTAAGATAATTAGATCACAAATATTCTACATGTTTTAAAAAATGAACTTCACAAAAAATCTGGCAAAATAAACCTTTCAAGTTAAAAGAGAAACTTAATTTTGTTTAATTTTTAGCTACGATACGAAAATATACTTTTTGAGCTTTACAAACTACCATTCTCTTTCAAAAAAAACTAAATTATGACCAAAACAGAGTTAAAATGAGCGCATGCGACTAACAAATGTTTAGTAACATACTCACCCACGGGTATATCATACAGCTCTTCGACATGCTTAGTGTCATTGTTAATAGCTTGCTTGTCGGTAGCGGTTGGCTCAGGAGAGGGGGATTTTTTGCCATCGGGCGTTGAAGTTCCATTTAGCTCGACGGTTTTGAGAGGGGGAGAGGGAGGGCTGAGTGGTTTCTCGTCGAGTTTGGTGGGCGTGGAGGGAGGGGTGCAGTTCTCGTTAGAGTTTAATGTGGATGGCGGGGTGGGTTCGGTTTTCGTGGGGGAGTCTTTTTTAGTTGGGGATTGCGGGGGGTCTTCAGCTGCAAAACACACACGCTTGTTTAGACACAGCAAGACGACATGGATTTTAAAACATCGTGATGAACGGCACATGGAGGAGGTACATTTAGAACTCATAATAATAAAAAAAAATTTCGAAATTTTTCTGCGCCTTTAATTCTTTTGCTGAGTGTACAGGGCATAATTATATATTTCTTTAACCTGACATGACACTATATGCCCTGCTTTACACACATAAAAACTTTGACATGCTTGCAACTATAATTTTTGCTAAGACGTCTGCAAGACCTAAAGGCATTCTACATAATTCACACTACAAAATAAAATATAAGAAATAATATAGAATACAATAACAGTAATACGAAATACCAATTATATCCACAATGTTCAAAATTGTTTTGTTTTTCCTATGCAGTGATCACCTGTTTGACAAAAATAGCACCATCTCTTGGTACTTTATTTTTGCGGATGATGAAACTGTTTGGTTTGCATATGCAACCTTTTTGGAGCCTTCCATGATAATTTAATGTTATGAGACTTCAATAAATCCATGTAGCGTTAACAGTGCAATCTTACAAGCTATCAAGCTTGAAATTTGCAAATTAGAGGGCATGTCTTATTAAATTATAATAAACTGAACCGATTGATACAAATTCGTGATTTACGGCCAAATTACACGCCAAACAATTGAATGATGAGGAGTGTCAACTGTTTACGTCTATTTACTGACGATATAAATCGATTAATTATCCTATTAATAGCGATTCTGATGTAACAGATTTACTGATGTGATGACTGCAACCACTGCGATTATATTCGGTTATTGTTTAATCGTTCCCTATTTACAAATCAGCTTGTGGCAGGAATTTTAATTCTCAACCAATACAAGATGGAAATTATTAAAATAGTTTGAATACGTTTGCAAGGTGCTAAAGTTAAAAAGGACATCTTTTTAGAATTATGAGTTATAAATATACGAGGCAATTTAAAATATTTCAAGGGCCTTTTAATTAATTAAAAATATTTTAAACTGCTTACGAATGAAGTCAAACAAAACAAAACCGTACTATTTCAATTAATTACATTAAAAAGCTATACAAAGGACAGGAAATTCTAAGCAGATATTAATTAAAAAAAATTAAAACCTTTTGTCTAGAAATTTATGAAAAACTTTGTGTTTTTCTTCCAACGAGATTTTGGTGTCAATATTTTAACAACTCAAGATTGTATTGAAACATTGTAATGTAAAATACTTAAATTAACACATTTCCGAAATGTGTTAATTAAATAAACCTCGGACTGTTTACTTTTGTCAGGAGGTAAATATTTGATGAGACACGTTCTATTTTCCATGATATTAGTTTCCAATCATTATTTTGATTCAAATCCAGTAAAAACAGATTTATTTTTCCACTTTAAATTTCCTGTCGATATAAAAATAAAGGTAATAAAAAAAATTGCACTGCATACCTCGGGCTGAGTTAGTCGGTGACCTATTATTGATTATGAGTTGGGGTGAATTCTTGATGATACTGGAAGGACGAGGAAGACTAGCGCCGTTGGTCTTCTTCACACTGTAGGACCCTCGTTGGCTGTCAGTGGCTAGTTTGTCAACAATGGCCTCTAATTCACCAAATACCTAACGAGAAAACGAACAAAGACCAATAATACAAGAAATACAAAGAACATAAAAATATAAGAAAATGAGCATAAAACAAAATCATCCTTGATTCATTTTTTCCTTATTCCTTACTTTGACGAAAAAGAGTGAATTTCTTTGACAACTGACCTTTACGTTAATTTAAAAATTTGAAATTCTTTTTTACACACAATATAACAAATAAATACCAAAGTTTTAGTAATTATTAATAAATATTCATATCATGTTGTAAGCTTTTTCAATTTAATGCTCGGCGGCTTTTGTTTAATATATTTATTTCAATAAAATATTCATTGCAAATATAGGATATCCTTGACGGTGTTTTATGCAAGACATATTTAGTTGTAAGTTTAATGTTAATTACAGAAAAAAGTTATTTACTTTGTTTAATAAAGCAACAATTTTCCTCGATATAAATATGAATAAATAGCGTGTAGTTTAATGCAAAGGAATGCCTTTTACAGAAATTTTGCCAGTTTTACGGAGACAAAAATAAAAATCAATGACGCCAAATCTGGAGACGGTATTGGCTAAAATAGAAATCCACTTTGAAAGAAGGTGTTATTAAAACATACTGGTACTATTAATGGTAATTTTTTTTAAATAGGTTATCAATTTACCTTTGCGCACTCTCCATGGAAAACGTTCTCCGCGTTAAACAGGGACTGCAGGTTCGTCACCAAAAACAAGATCCTGGAGTCGTATAGGGCAGGCAGTTCGTCGTGCAGTTCCGAGTTCATTATTTCGTAGGTCCTTTTGGCTTCTTCCAGTTGTTCCCGTCCTTTCGCGATCTTAGCCTCGTCCCTCTTCTTCATGTTCGTCTGCAGCGCCTGGAAGCTGTGCCTCTGGCTGTCGTAGTCCACCAGCTTCCTGCCCCTCTTGTCTATCTTTTTCTACGGAAAAACAAGAAGAAAATTGTCATCTAAAAACACAATCAATATGGCATTCAGAACAAAAATACAGAAAAATATAATAAAAATCGTTTTCTAGCTGATAACCTTGAGCAGACTGTTCTTGAAACGATATTTAATCCCTTAAAGCCGATAAGCCGTTAATGATACTCGTTTTATATTTTCACCAACCAATTATGACGAATTAGCTGGAAATAGTACACAATTTGTCCTTGAGAAAATACAGGAAAAAATTATGCAAATCTTTTGGCTTAAGGGTTTATTTTATTAATTGTTTTTCTTGGACATGTTACGTATGTTGAATAGGTAATATATACCGTCCACTTTGCAGCCACCCTAAAATTTTTGCGTCTCGACGAATGTAAAAAATTTTGGAGACTCATTACAAATTCAAACACGAATCTGCAGAAATATGTAAATGATGCTCTCTAAGTTGTTCCGTATAAAATCTCTAAAGCAAATAACTTTCGATGAAAGCGTGACCTCTGAAGCTACCACAACAACAATCTCGAATTTTAAACATATTATAACCACTTCCAAAAAGCGATACATTGTTAAAAGAATCACCGAAGCTTTGTATTTTACATGAATTTATAATATGTTCAATAAGTTTAACTTGTGTTGACAATGGTTCATTTAACTCTCAAAACAAAAAAGGAGCTTTCCAATATGGTGATCTACCTACTCGGATCATGTACATAGGTTAATGTCGTGGAACTATCAAATTTGCTTATGTTTCCAATACCCTCTATAATCCAGTCAAAATAAGATTCACGATGCGATTTCAGCCACCTACATACAACATTCAGAAGAGCTCCACAACCAGAAGAGAATTGAATCGCGGATCTTCCGAATATTTCGCCATGTAATCGCTCTAGAGACCGCTACATCAACCTCGACAAGCAAGCGGACGAGTGCTGTACATCTCCAATAACATCGCCATAAAATCGCGGATGTTTCCTAAATTCGACCATCGAGCCGACCGGACGAGAAATACTACGCCGAGAGTCCTCCGTTCCATCGAACTACTACGACAATTCGTGCCAAACCTACCCCAGAAGTCGCCAACGGGAGCCAGTCGGAAAAATTTTTCAACTCACTTGAAAAATCAATGAAAAATATTGACTTCAAATTCAACCTTCGACAACACTTTCGGATCCACACTAACATTGTCTAATTTCAGACTTCTAACTTCGCACAGACCGCCGTACCAGCCAGAAACACAGTCCAGAATGGAGTGACACTAAACCGGACCTCGTAACAAGCATACTACCGGAATCCATCCCGCCACGCCGGCGAGTGAACGCGCATCTTAGTCAATTGCAGTCATTTAACCAGGATATATGTGCCTGGCCAGAGTGTGTATTCGACAAGCAAAAGAATTCGCATTTGAAACCGCTGCATTTCTGTAGTATCATACCAAAGCACAAATAAATTATAATATATCTGAAACCGCAATCTGAGTTATTCATAAACTCGAGCTTAACGCTCTACCAGCTATGCGCCACAATTTAAGTTTTCTACAAGATTCCGTACAGGCACTTCACGGAATCCGTACAACGGTGCATAAACTTTAGTGTGCAAGAGACAGTGAACAGACTCGTAAAGTGGTATACAAGGGTAAACAAACAAAAAGAACCATAAATATTTCCAAAATTGCCTAAATTTGGAAGAAGGCAAGTGTCACTGCTTCCAAGGCCTTTTAGGTCACACCAACCACTCAAAATTAGATCGTGGACTTCCTCCACCTGAGCTTATCGAGCGCCACAATGGCGGAGGATTGTAATTTACATTTTCATTTGTTGGCGACCTCAAGGTCTCAAGTTAAGAGAGACACACATGAAATACCGAAGGACGACCTAGCACCGACGGTGAAAAAGGACCTTAAACAATTCGATTCCACCGATCCCACTATGAGGATCTACGACGATGCTTATATGAGAAGCAAATAGCTCGTCTGCACCGAAAGCACAATCTACGTCTTGGCGCCCAACGTTCGACGTTATTTTGTATGTGCGTGTAATTACTTTATTCCTGTGTAAGAAGAGTATTTCAATACACTTACACTATTATATGCTTATGGCATAAGCTGTACTTTGTACGGTAAAATTATTTTAGGAATTTATATATGAATAATTATAATGTTACGCAAGCCACCGGCGTTGTGTTGCGGTTTCACTTTTAAACGCCAACAAACCAGAGCAATATAGAACAAACCACATTTACTGATGCATGATATGCCATTATTCCCGATACAAAAGGATATTGCATACGTTTTCTACATGTACTAGCTGGACGCGATCGAGTCGGCTAGAAGCGGGAGATCTTCCAGATTTGGCAGATTTGGCGATTGTTTCTTCAATAATGGTGCGAAATATCAAGTATATTTGGAAACAGTAGTGAAAAATAATTCTGCAACTTTGAATACGCATCAAAAGTATCCTGTTCAATGTAGCTAAATGTTTAAACTTTTTAAAATACAGGCAAAAAATTTAACGCTTATCATTAGTTGTTTACGCAATGAACAAACAGCTCATATAATTAAAGATACAAAGTTCATTACCATTACCAACACGTTATAAATTGCAGGTAGAAATATTGTTATTAAATTGGCAGTAAAATAATTGCGTAAATAAATAATTTCTTCCACCATTTTATAATTTAAGAACTCTAAAAGTATGTTTTTGAGTAAAGAACATTAAATATACAGAATTGAAAAAGATTATTTCTTAAAAAATTAAAGGGATAAACAAAATTTGGTGAAACCACCTCTAGAGATAAATACAGGGTGTTAAAAAATCGGTTTTTCGTAAAAATCTAAAACTAGATTGTATCTGTTATTTTTTTCCATATCAATAGTCTATTCTAGTCTTAGAAATTGTTATAAAAATTAGTGCTAGCTACAAAAAAATTTTGTGTTTTATTAACTATTAAAAAAATGTTTTTATTTAGTTGGCCATGGACATGCAATAAAATGATTTTTATGTATTTTTCTCCAAAAAAGGAAGCAAGATACGAAAAAGTTGTATTTTTAGTTGCTTAATGCGAAAAAAATTATAAAAGTATAAAAAAAGTCAGTGGTGAACATTTTGTTTGTCAAAAATATTGGTTAAAGTACACACGGGACGCCACTGCACTTAATAATTTTAATCTAGTTAGGGCCAAATTAGTCCTTTTCTACCATAAATAACACTGCCAAATTTCAACAAAATCGGCTAAAGGATTATTAAGATTTTTACGAAAAAACGTTTTTTTTTTTAATTTAACACGCTGTAGCTGGAAAACGAGGCATTACCGGACCTATGTCTATATAAACTTTTCGTCTTAGAATCGCTCAAAGAATCGACCTTTGAAATTTGGTCCTGTACTTAAATAACGCCCTGTATACTAAATTCAAATTGATGCCTTTATTATGAAAAATACTGTTTTATGATGAACTGTATTTATTTATCAAATACAAAAAAAAATAAAAATACTTATTTAATCTCGTGAATTTGAAATATTTATAAAAATTAAGTTTTTAATAAAAAGTATTTGTTACTACTTTTTTAAAGCACTGTGTTTAGTTTGTGAATCTGTGTCAATGACTTCTGACATTAATGTAGCAACAGGACGCTCGGTTGGCAAAAAAAAATAAACAAATGGCCAACATTAAATCGACGAAATTTATTAAATTTTTGTGATGTATGTTTCAAAGGATACTTATTACAGTAGTACAATTCATCAAGAAACAACCTGTGCGAGCTATTTATCTCGTTTAACGCGACTTTCGATTCACAGTGCCAATTCCTCCGCCCGAAATATCTATTTCTGTTCTGCTCTACGACAAATGCCCGCCTTAAATTAACATATTTTCACTTTCCGTCCCACGGACAGCGAGGGACCAGTATATTCACCCTTATAAGGCCGCCCAAGGCCTTTCCAATCAAACGGTAGTATAAACTGACACCTAATAAATATTCATATATTTACGCCGCCATTAATTGCCTCCAGTGCCCATTTCTCCTCTCCCTGTTCGACGATTTCAAGTGCTCTTTAACGAAATGCCATCCCGTACGGTAACGATATCCCACCGATCGCGGCGTGTGGGTGCGACCATCATCCGTTGTTCATAGGCGTTGGAAACTGTAGGCAAATTCTGTTACATTGACTGTGTGTTAGAATAATTTTGCAATACAACGTACTCTATAATTTATACACGACGTTGAAAGACTTGAGGAAATGATTTTTTCATAATCAGGGTCAAAATATTAGGACTCATGTGCCAAAGTATGGATGAAGTGGAAAGCGAAATGGATTTTTCAAGCGATGAAGAAACAGTGTTGCAGTGACTTCAAAAAGTGAAGCACTAAAAAAAGGATTAAACTACAAGAAAATGTGTTACTGACTTCTTTTGAATACACTGTTGTGAAAGTGAAACCACCGACATTATAGTCAATTTACCCCATGGTAAAAATTACTTACGTAACGTTAAAGAAATATATTAACATAAAAACATTTTAAAAACTAGAACTCTTTTTGAAAATGTAAATCGGTCGGATATGGTCCAAAGTAGAAATCAAAACATTCAACAAGTTTTATATGAAGATGCATTAATTTCCCTAATTATGACTTTTTTTCTGGTTACTATGAGCTTTCACGAGACTCGTAGAAAAGAATAACTACTAAATATGTCAGTACAAGATATTGAAGTTTGACTGATTGTTATTAAAATTCCTGATAACAAGACACATACTCGGAGGACTCATTTGAAACATATTTCATATTATATCATATCGACAATATTCTGCTCTAAGTTTACTAAAAATAGAAAACGACTACTTCAAAAGAAATCGCTACATATTTGATATTGCCGCATACGAGGCACAGATTCAGACGCTCTTCTGCGACGATTTTGGCTGATCTAGGACAGATATTATCTCCATCAAGAGACACGTTTTTAAAGTAAAGGTGAATTAGTCACTAATTTGTTCCTTAACACT